CTAATAAAGGCCAGAGGAGAGAGAGTTCCATGTCCTTACAACTTTTCATTTTCTGGAACTCCAAATTCACTCTTTAATAAATGTTTCATTCAAAGGAATGAGTAAAAACAAAAGAGACCAGTCAAGTATCTGGAAATCCTGTGGCTTTCTCTGATCTGTATTAGTGAAATGCCCCCAAAACTGTTAAATGAAATTTCACTTATCTGTGCGCAGTTGTGGTTACCCAGGACTAGAAAAGTGGTTTGACTAATGAGGGCAATTCTGGCCGTGACAGTAATAGCTTTCTCAGAAGCAGAAATTGGATGAGGGTAAGGGTTATAGCCACACGTAAAAACCAAGCCATAAGGAATCAATGTTCCTACACATAAATAAACTGTAACATTTAAAACAAAAAGAATATACTGGGACTGCCAGAGTAAAACCATCCTACTAAGTAAGTACTCAAGGGCTGTTAGCTTCTGTGGATTCCCCATGTGATGCCAAGAACAATCAAGAAGGTGACTTTGGAAGGGGAAGATGATCATGGATCCAGGAGGAAAAATACTGTCACCGTCACTCTTCACCCTTCAGTAGGTGGCTGAACTTCGTGTCGTAACAGGAACTCAAATAAATTTTTAGTTTAATTATTTATTACAAATGCATTTAAAAGATGTTTTATTCTTACTACAAGGGGGTCAAGGTAGATTCTAGTCCTGCCACTAACTCTGTGTTTCTGGGCAACTTAAAACTGACTTGAATCTCATTTTTTAACCAACCCCACATCCTTTTCTCATCTAGATTACAGCAATAACCTCCTTGCCTCCCAGCCTTCCACGCTGCCCACCCACTCATTCATAGCATTTAAATGAGGACCATCTTTCTCAATTGTAAATTTAATTCCCTTCTTTCTAATGGCTTCAAATTTACCCTTGGATAAATCCTAAATTCCTTAAAATATAGTGAGATGGTATTATATGTGTATGTGTGTGTGTATATATATATTTATATCCTATATTTCCTCCTGGATGCATATATATAGACACATATACACACACATATATATATAAACAGACACATATATATTATATATATATATAAACAGAGACATATATATTATATATAAACAGACACACATATATATAATATATATACAGACACATATATATTATATATACATATAAACAGACACATATTTATTATATATAAACAGACATATATATTATATATATAAACAGACACATATATATATTATATATATATAATATACATATGAACATGAAACTATCAGTTAACAAAGCTCCCTAATCAAGAGTTCACTCCTGCTGGCACTGAAAAGACCCTAGTCAGGTATCCACCCTCTAGAAACTACCCTTCTATGGGATGAAAATAAACTCGTTTTGTTTGAACTACTGTAATTTTTGGTCTCTGTGTCACTGCACCTTAAATTATACCCTATCTAATACTACACCCAGTGATTTTTAGCTCCTTAAATACACCATATTCCCTCTTACCATGGATTCTCTGAGCATGTCCTTCCCTCCACCTGGAACTCTCCCACCTCCTAACCTTCGTCTTGCAAACTCCTACTTCAGTTCCGTCTTCCTTGGAGAGATTATCCCTAACCTTAAGCCTAGGTTCCCTTCCCCTTGACATTCCAACAGCAGACTTCATTCTGACATCCAGCTACCACTTTAGACACCAGCGGTTAATTTATTAGTATAAAGGATGCCTGGAGTTGTTTTTCTTTGGTGAAGTGAATGATAAAAAGAATTTGAGTTCCAGAATGACCTTTACAAATAGAGCTGTCTAAGCTCCCTGGCTTGTCAACCAATTCCAGACAATTCACAGGAGGAAATACATTGGTCTCATTTGAGCAACTGTAATGGGGAGGACTTTGTTATAGGAGCTAAGCTTGTACCATAACAAATGCACTCACCACGTCTGATGGTTTTCAGATCTATGAGGAGCCCATGTCCTTCTCACCTGTAAGTCCTTGCATAGGCTATTCCCTATGACCAGAATATTCTACCACTTCTACTGCTCACCTAGCTAACCATTAGCCTCCAAATCAGAGCATGAAGATCATCTTGGACAAATCCTCCCTAACCTTGAGGGTCCATTAGATCCAACAGAAGATCCTGCACCCCATCGCCATTATCTCAACACATTTTACTGCCCTTTGTTCTGTAATGATCTCCTTCCTTCAAACACTATAAGCTCTTAGCAGACAGAGGCCACTTCTCTGCTGCCCTGGCAGCACTGAGCAGGGGTCTGGCACCTAACACAGGATCCGGGGCACAAACATCCATCTTGACCACAGTGCCATGTTAAAGAGATCTTGTCAACTACCTTATCACTGTCTAGACCTCTCTCCATATTTTATTTTATTTTATTTTACTTCTAGTAACACTAATGAGAAGGAAAGAGGAGATAAAGGGGTTGAGTGAGAAGGAAGGGAAGAGGAAGAAGAGATTAGTTTGGCATAATTTGGCATAGCTTAGTGAACCCACCAGTCTATATTGCTCCCCAAAACATCTTGTTAAGAAAATACGTTCAAAATATTTGGAGTTAAATAGCATATTGTTTCTTTAGCTATAATTTTTTTCAAACCCATAGCATATAATTTACATGACGTGGAAACCAACTAGATGCCTTCTTACTATCTCTTTCTTTACCTTCGATAGAATTTCAGTTGCCTCTTAACTCTGTTTGAAGACCACGACCGGTGTTTCATGAGCATGTTTTATTTCTTCCGGAAGACAGAGACTGGACAGCTGATCTTCTGGTACACAAATAAATTATAATGTTGCAAAAATGTCCAAACTGAAGTCCTTATCCTTTGTAAAGAAACTAAGAAAGACCCCTAAATAGGTTGAGAATTAGCAACCAATGACCTCTACCTACTTCCACAGCTATGTTCCTAAAAGACAAACGTCTGTCACTGATTTGGGATACTCTAGAGCCTCTGTCACAATATGAAGCAGCCCCAACCACCACAGATGAACGTTGCACTTTAAATTATTTTGAATCACAATCAGGGTGCTTGGGTGGCTCAGTGGGTTAAGCAGTTGAATGTCTGACTTTTGATTTCTGCTCAGGTCATGATCTCAGCACCCTGAGACCGACCCCGGTTCAGGCTCTATGCTCCGTGGGGAATCTGCTTGAGATTCTCCCTCTCTCTCTGCACTTCCCCCTGCCTGCTCGCTCTCTTTCTAAAATAAAAAAAATCTTTAAAAAATTATTTTGACTCACGAGCCAAAGGACAACTTGCCTTTTTTTCCCTTACCTTGTATTTCACTTCCCTTTCCATATTCCTGCTTTTCCCCTTACTAATTTTAAGCCTGTAGGACAGAAAAACTCCTATTCTCTAATCTCAACAAAATCATATTTATTCTTATCTGTGGCACAAGAAAAGGAATATACAGATGTTACTTCATTCTTGATTTTCCTTTAACAATGTGTTTAATTAGGCAAGTAGCTCTGTTACTGTCACCTTAAACTACACTGACTCTTTTCTGGCTCAGCTTACCTCACTATAAAACACTATGAGGTCAATGCTAGATTGCAGAATTTAATTAAACGCCTAAGATGAAATCTTTATAACATCTCCAATTCTTGCTCTGCATCAAGAACAAGAAACCAAATTTTGCTTAAGCCTAAAATATGATACTAGCCCTGTAAAAAATGATTATTGGACTTAATCTGTAACTATCTAACCTAGCACATCTATTTTGACAGCAGAGATCATGTGGGCTGAGGGTTTTTTTTTTTTCTGTAACTGCACTCTGATTTACTGTTGCACACTCTTCCCAGAATCCTGATTTTATTTGTTTTTACTGTCAATATGAGTCTGCTAAAAAGTCCCAACTTTGTGTCCTAAACCAAATGAGATCAGCCAATTGGAAAGCAGCATGCACACATTTGAAAATCAGCTATTTATAGCCCTGTTTCCCAGACGTGTTTCCCGACCACAGGAAAGGTTCAGTCTCACTATAAATCAGTCTCCAGTAGGTGTCAGGAGCTCCTGTCCTTGTGCAACAAAAAAATCTTTACTCTGCTTTGTTCTCAATGTATGCAGTTCTTCCCTCCCACACACACACCAAGCCACTCATATGTCAGCATTAATGCAGAGGAATCAATTATTAGTAGCAACATCCTCTTGAAATCTCAATTCAGTGAGTGCAGAACATCAGAGGGAATGTGTTACTTTTCTCCTCTTTAAATAATACATACCAAAGGACCATGGAAGAATCTTTGCAGCCTTGGAAATGAGAACGGGGGGGTTGAAATGATAGTCAAATCCCCTTCTAGAATTCTCTTCTGCCTCACTCCACCAGCCATAAATATCAGATGAGAGGCTGCATATTCTGGTGAATGTAGGCCAGCTGCTGTGACGCAGGAGGGAGATTTGGGCTTTGAGATATAAATTTTTCAAAGAACTAAAAGTAGCTCCCAAGAACCTGCTTAAGACAACCTCAGCCTCCAACAGCATTTTCACAGTCAGTCTGAACTGGGAAACAAGCTGGGGTTCATCTGCCGCCTCCGATGGCTTCACCAGGCTGGAAAGGGTTAACTAGAAGGAATGGGGCACTACTGTGCTTTTCTCGCCACAAAATGTTGAGGGCAAACCATCTTGCTACAAGCTTCAAATACCAAGATCAAATCCTTTTCCACCGCCACATAGTTTGGCACATCTAAATGGGGAAACCTTTTAAATGGCAAACAGTAAATTAGCATAGCAGCTAACTCCTCAACTAACTAGTCTTCTTCAGAATTTGCACAACAAAATGACTAGGAAGCAAACAAATTGTCAACACAACTCTTCTTCCACTGCTAAAAAAGCTACCCCTAAAAAGCCATATTTAAAGCTTCAGGCCTCATTTCTTGCAGCACTCCCAGAAGAGGGAAAACAGATTTCCCAGTTTGTGAAAATCAGTGCTGCTTTCAGCAAGTTGGTAAAGACTTCCACTGCAGAAACATAAAATCAGGATCATACTAAAATAGAAAGGGTTGGTCCTTACCACCAATGCGAGACATACAGACTGTTCAGCATGCTGGCTTTGTTATTTAAGAGCTGCTTCCAACGTGGTGCAGAGGAAAGGACAAGATTCCAAATGCATCAATGTTTAGAAATTTTATATTGTTCCCCATCACATTCACATGCCACAGGCAGAGTCTGGGTGCCTCTGCTGCAATGCCTTTCATAATGCACTAGATGATCTGCTAAGACAAATTACAAGACAATTTAATTAGAAGACTTAGCCCCTAACCATATACCTTTCTAGGTCTGTCTCTGGCAAACTCAACCCTAAATGTATATCTAAAAGCCCTGGCTATCTCCACACCACGCCCTCCACCAACCTCACCCCATTCCCCACCACCTCCCCTATCTCTAAACGCTACAGTCACTTTGGAAATGCAGAGACGATGTGAGTTCAAGCAGCAAAAGTCAGAGAAAGTACAAACAGCTTAGACTAGACATCTTTTTTATTGTCCCTTCACTTTCGTTCAGACAGTCTGAAATTGCTCATTTCATGATGATACATTGCCTCAGATGTCATCAATTAAAGATTTGAGTCAACAAGCATTACTTGTTTAAAAAAAAACAACCTTCAGGGGAACCACTACACTATGGAGAATTGAATCAGACTGCTTTCCACTCTAAAAGTTTATCAGAGAACAGCTACAGAGGGAAGAAATGGATGAATGAGGCTTAATAATCTGGGAGCACTTTAGAACAATCTGGAAAGGTAAAGTGGGCTGTCAGGAACCATATGGCATCCTAAAAACTCAAGCTCCCTTTTTCTAAATGACCAGTGTCGGCTACGGAGGACAGAAGGAATAAATTAACGGTGAACAGTTCTTGCTGAAGGTAACCTGGTAAACACGCGGTCGCTTCTGGAGAATATTCCCGGACCCTCCAGCTTATCCAGTTCTGAGTTGATGAGTTTCTTGGTGCACCTCGGTGCATGGCTTGCCACTGTGAACTGTGGCAGCTGTGGCAGCATTCTGTATAAGGGACTACTGCCAGGGCCACGGGACCACAAGTGAGAGCTGCACTGGAAAAATCAGGAATGTCCGTGGGCACTTGCTTTCCAGAATGTGTCTAAAGCCCATAAACCTTAAAAGCTGGCAGACTTGGCCTCACAAAATCTCAGCTGCCCCCATCAACTTCTAGAATTCTTCTACTGATAAGCAGAAAGAGAAGCAAAAAATACGTAGTAACTTCTTGAAAACTATTAATCTTGCTCTTTGGTGCCTAGAACCCCTCCGAGGACTCACCTCCAGATGGAAGGGGAAAAGATTACACATCTCAAAAAGCTACATGGCAAACGATCTTTAGAAAGCACATAATCCAACTTTCTGGGCTAGAAGCTGAGAGCTATGGGGACAGTCACCCCCCATATAATCTGCCAAATGGCCACTGTGCTTATGAATAAAGCGACCACCGATCCACCAAGTTACAAGTCCTGACTTCCACCTCAGTGGTGGTGCTGGGGGGAAGGCGGCGGCAACCCCAGCTGAGCAAGCCCAGAGCTCCCCACGTACCACCCACCTCGCGTGTGGGGGACACACAGTACTAATCTCATCGCCGGATCACCCGACTTCAAATACGGAGACCAAGAAAGGTGGGTCTCGTAGAAGCAAAGGAGTGGGCAAAAACCAATTCCTCTGTTCCATTTTGCCTAAAGTCACTCCCGTCCTAGGCAGAAGAAAGGAAACTGTTCCTCCTGACCTCCCTCCATGTCAGAAGCCTCTGGCTCCCAGGAAACACTTCCCGTTAGCACATAGGGCAGATCAGTTTCACAGGAGAACCTGACCACCATGACGGAATTTCCAGGAAAATGTGCTCCGAGACATAAACAAAAACAAAAAGCACCTTGTACATTGGGACACCTGTTTAGAATCTGAGAATGTGCTGTGTATGTATGGGGACACGGTGAGAAGTGAGAAAAATGAAAGCCTGACTCTTAACTGTGGAGAACAAAATGGCAGTTCCCGGAGGAGAGCTGGGTGGCGGGACTGGTGAAAGGGGACGGAGATTAAGGAGCACTGACCACGATGAGCACCGAGCAGCATACGGAACTGCTCAAGTCATGATGTTGTACACCTGAAACTAACATAACACTGTCTGTTAACTATACTGAAGTTGAAATTTAAAAAAAAAAACTTAAAAAAAGAGAGAGCGAGAGAGAGAGAATGAAAGCCTCTGGATGGAAGGCAACAGATCCGAAAGGAATTCAAACATCCGATCCAGAGACCAGCTAGCTAAATCCAAAGGTTTATAATTCAGTTGAAGCTGGCGATCAGGAGATGGCAGAGCTCTTGGCCTGCCGGGCAGACCAGACAGGGCACAGATGATTGGGATTATGGAAAGGCTTCTCGTAAAACCAGGGACAGCATGAACCAGGCTGGAAAACAGGCCAGGCCGAGGTGTGGCTGAACAGCACTCAGGAGCCTAACAGAGACCGTGGACAATGGTAGTCGCTTCTCTGCCCTACAGAGAGCCTTCCCCGTATCCTCCTTACCCCGTTCCACAGAGTGACTGGTCCTTAGTGTGTCTCAACTGCTCATGATAAAGACAAACAAGGGAAATGAGAAAGGCGCCAGTGGTTGTCGAATCTTAAAGCATCTATGACCACTTGGAGAGTTTGTTTAAAATTCAGAATCCCCAGCCCTACCCCAAGAGACTCTAATGCAGGCGGTTCCGGATGCGCTCTGGCAAACAATGAATGACTGTGAGGGCAATAAAAAGGGTAATTTGCTGGTCAGGACAGCAGCTCCAGATTTGCTCTGACAGCATACAGAGCACCGTGCACACTCTGCACTCCACAGAGAGGTTCCTGCAAAGGAGTTCGGAAGCACCGCCCACAGTACGTCGACAGGAGAGTCAGGGCTCCCATCTGAGCACCCTTCTATTGGGGCAATCACCTTGGAGGCCAGTGAATCAGACTTAGCCAGTGCCCCACCATGCCCACTAAGGAGTTTTGTTGTTTTCTTTTAAAAAATGACTTGTCCTGAGGCACCTGGGTGGCTCAGTCTGGTAAGTGTCTGACTCTTGATTTCGGCTCAGGTCATGATCTCAGGGTCATGAGATCAAGCCTGCATCAGGCTCCGCACTCAGCAGGGAGCCTGCTTGAGACTCTCTCTCTCCCTCTCCGTCTGCCCCTCCCCTTCCCTGAAATAAACAAATAAATCTGGTTGAAAACTCTGAGTTTGTAAAACTATGCAAAGTGTCATGAGCCAACACGTTCTGACACTCCTGCTTTTGTTTGTATAAGGTTTCCTCCCAGGTACCTTCATTTTTACATGAGAGACAATTCTGGGGATGTGAGAGAGAATAGAGGCCGGCTGCTCATCAGAACTTACCAGAAATAAAAGCTTAGTAACTTGCGTGGAAACCAGCTGTTGCCTCCATACCAAATCAGCCCACTGCCATGGCAGTTTCCTTGGAGCTGAAACACTCTTTGAAGGTGGGAAAAAAAATCTCTGAACAAAGAAAACAAGTCCTTCCAACAGTGAGAAGTGCTAGTCTGGAAAGGAAGAGTCTATTTAAATTCTCTAATCCTAAAAGCACGTAACTATTGCCCAAATGGCAAGAAAGAACAGCAGAAACCCAGAGGTATCCTTAGAGCCTGAAGCTGAGACTAAAGATGGGCTGGAAGAGAAATTCTGAACACTGCTGGGTTCTTGTCTGAGAAACTACTGTAGGACCCTGGGCTCATTTTACAAATGTGTCAAATGGGGATAAGATTCCCTGCCATCTCTCCCCACAGGAAGTGGCCAAGTTTGAATGACAGAAAACACAGGAGAGCTTTCCATAAAATATTAGCCAATAAACAAATATTTTATCACATTTTTATGCCCATGATTGATATCCTGTTATTCCTTTAAGGCTTTTAAAAAATCAAAACAGTAGGGGCGCCTGGGTGGCTCAGTGGGTTAAGGCCTCTGCCTTCGGCTCAGGTCATGATCCCAGGGTCCTGGGATCAAGCCCCACATCGGGCTCTCTGCTCAGCGGGAAGCATGCTTCCTCCTCTCTCTCTGCCTGCCTCTCTGCCTACTTGTGATCTCCATCTGTCAAATAAATAAATAAATAAAATAAAATCTTTAAAAAAAAAATCAAAAGAGTAAGTAGTCATTCTACCCATTAGTGATCTACTCATGAATCTTTTTAAAGTTACTATGTTAGGGTCACCTGGCGGTTCAGTTAATCAAGCATCTACCTTCAGCTCAGGTCATGATCTCAGGGTCCTGGGATGGAATCCCATGTTGGGCTCCCTGCTCAGTGGGGAGTCTGCTTCTCCCTCTTCACTGTCCTCCCACTGCTTGTGTTCTCTAACTCTCGCTCTCTCTCTCTCTCTCTCTCTGTCAAATAAATACATAAATAAAACCTTTAATTTAAAAAAAAGTTACTATCTATAAGCTATGTCTACAATAAGCAACTATGGAAAGAGCCACGATGTCCATTGACAAATGAGTGCATAAAGAAGATGTGGTGTGTGTGTATATATATATACATATATACACACATACCATGGAATATTACTCAGCCATCAGAGAGGATGAAATCTTACCATTTACATTGACGTGGATAGAACTGGATGGTATTATGCCGAGCAAAATAAATCAATCAGAGAAAGACAAGTGTCACATGGTTCCACTCATATGAGGAATATAAGACACAGCACAGAGGACCCCAGGGGAAGGAGGGAAAAACGGAATGGGAAGAAATTGGAAGGGAGACAAGGCATGAGAGACTCTTAACTATGGGAAAGAAACAGGATTGCTGGGGGTGGGGGGGAGATGGGCATTAAGGGCATGGGATGTGATGAGCACCAGGTGTTATATGCAACTGATGAGTTACTGAACTCTACATCTGAAACTAATGACGTTCTATATGTTGGCAAATGGAATTCAATTTTTTTTTAAGAAGTGACTATGCTAAAGAAATCTGTCAATGTCAATGAAATTGATCAGTACTGAGTAATCAAGTATAGGAGAGGAGATGTATTTGTGCCTAAAACATCTAAATCTCAAATACTATGGTCTATCATACATTTTTCTGAAACAAAGAATAAAAATCATATAAGGAAGCACAACATTTGTAACCACTACACTTT